CGGGAGGGCTGTAGCCCCTCTGGGGCGGCGGGTGGCAGCAGGAACCCCCTCCAACCACCGCCTTCCCTCCTGCCTAGGTGGTGGTCAGCAAAGCGGCCATGATTGTGAACCAGCTCTCCAAGAAGGAGGCGTCGCGCCGCGCGCTGATGCAGTCGCCGCAGATCGTGGCGGCCGTGGTGCGCACCATGCAGAGCACCAGCGACCTCGACACGGCCCGCTGCACCACCAGCATCCTGCACAACCTCTCGCACCACCGCGAGGGCCTGCTCTCCATCTTCAAGTCCGGCGGCATCCCGGCCCTAGTCAGGATGCTCAGGTGCTGAACCCGCCACGGCCTCCAGGGTGTCCCCAAGGGGACAACAGTCTTGGGATGTCCCTCCTGCATGGGGGCATTCCATGGATTATACTGCCTATGATGCCTTGGGATTTGTGGTAGAGGCTTGTGCAGAGCAACACGTAGCTAGAGATGGGCCTGTTAAAAGGGGGATGTGGGAGACCTTGGACCTGTTTAACCTGGGCAAGCCCCGGTGTCAGATGAGTTTGGAAGCAGCACGGAGCAGCAGGAAGGGAGCAACCCCCCTGCTTATCCATGGGGTGATGCCCGGAGACCTGGGCTCAGGGCAGAGACGCTCCTCTCACAGAGAGGTCCCTTGGGGTGCAACAAGGCTGGGTGCCATCTGCACCCCAGGAGGGACATGGGGACCTGCTGGAGGTCCCTCAGTGCCACGTGGGACTCTCGGCGGTGGCAGCAGTGCTGACGTGGCTCCGTGCCGCCCGCCCGCAGCTCGCCGGGCGGGGCTTCTCCGCCATCACCACCCTGCACAACCTGCTGCTCTACCAGGAAGGGGCGAAGATGGCCGTGCGCCTGGCCGACGGCCTGCAGAAAATGGTGCCGCTGCTCAACAAGAACAACCCCAAGTTCCTCGCCATCACCACCGACTGCCTCCAGCTCCTCGCCTACGGGAACCAGGAGAGCAAGGTGAGCCCCGGGGAGCCCGGCCTCCCTCGGCAATGCCGGGAGCCGCTGGTAGAGGTGGGATGGAGATGGCTGCAGTCGCCCATCCTTGCTCCTCTGGTGCTGTCACGTCGCAGGGGAAGCCCGGAGGGGCAGGGATGGGAGCCACGTCTGCAGCTCCGTCGCATCCAACCTCCCGCGGGTGGAATGTCCCCGGGAGCGCAGCAGCTCCCGGTCCGGCCGGTAAATCGGCTCGGCTGGGTTTCTCCCACCGCCACTCCGGGCAACTTCTGCCTTTGTCCCTAGGCTGTTTCTCTTCCTCCCACGCGCGAATCGATGCAGCCTCGTTGGGCAGCGAGGCCGGGTCCCAACGACCCGCTCTGAGGCTGCCTGTCCTGCCCGGGGTGGTGGGACAGGGACAGGCCACGCACTGGAGAGGCAGGGTGCAATACGTGGCCGCAGCGGAGGCAAACCCAAGTGCTCCATGCAGCCACAGCAGCCCCTTGCCTGACTCGTATCCTGACCCGCACAAGCTGGAGGAACCGGCCGGTGTCCTGGAAGCGCTGCCAGAGCCTCCACAAGCCCTAACCCCGTCCTCCTTGTCTTGCAGCTGATTATCTTGGCCAACGGAGGACCCCAGGCCCTGGTGCAGATTATGCGCAGCTACAACTACGAGAAGCTGCTCTGGACCACGAGCCGGGTGCTCAAGGTGCTGTCCGTGTGTCCCAGCAACAAGCCGGCCATCGTGGAGGCCGGTAAGGAGGTGCCGGGGCTGCGGCAGGGACGCGTGTGGGCTCCTCACCCAGCAAACAGGAGGATGGTGGTTTAGGGACGATGCGGTTGAGAACATCAGGCCTCCCTGTGCTCTGGGCACAGTGATGGGCTCTGAGCTCATCCTCGGGCAGCAGTGGCTCTGCTCGGCCTCTTGCTTCAAAAGATGAACAAGATGATCAAGACACTTCCCTGGGCCGGGGCTGGTCCTGCCGCCTTCCCGCACCGCATTTAGCTCGGCCAGATGAGGCCACGTTGTGCATTGGAGGCATCAGCCAAGGGCTCTGCAGCCTCCCCTTGCAGTGCAGAGACCCACGGCTGCCCCGTCCCGGGTGTGGGGAGGATCTGCGTGTTTGGGTGTTTGTAGACGAGCGGCTTCTCGCCTTCCTGGCAGGCGGCATGCAGGCGCTGGGCAAGCACCTGACCAGCTCCAGCCCCCGCCTGGTGCAGAACTGCCTCTGGACCCTCAGGAACCTTTCCGACGTGGCCACCAAGCAGGTGAGTCCGCAGAGCCGGGCTCCAATGCAGCCCTTTGGAGAGCCGCCCTGGGCCACGGCGGGGACGGTGCCGGTCTACCGGGCACCCTGGGCACGTCCCCTGCTGAGCTGCAAATCCCAAGCTCCATCCTCTCCCTCCA